GTCTAAGGTCAACGAAGCTTCAACAAGTTTGGTTGAATTTTTGATGCAATCGTTGAGCAAATACTGCTTACACAGATTCATTACTTCGGGCGCGTTTTCAGCAGTCAATTTCACGGAGCTACGATAAAAATATTGGAGAAATTCTTCAAACGCCTCCGGAGACGTATCGGTGATGGTTACGTCGCCACTTTCCTTCACAGGGCCATAAAACATTGCGTCGAATGCCTCACTCACAGCTGATAAAATACTCTTGTGAGCCGGAATTCGTTTGCTTTTGGAAGAATTTTCGGATTTAAAAATGAAAAATACATCGGCTGTTCGATCGTCCAAATAGAGTTTTTCACATCCTCGCCAAGCCAACACATTTTTATGGATAGTAGTGTTGTTATTTTGGGCCATTTTTACGAAGTCTATTCGACACTGAACTAAATGTTTTTGTATAAAAATGAATGTTTTTGACAAAACTAAAGAAAAACTCAAAAAATACGATGATATTATTTATGAACACAAGTTGTGACGCTGTGATATTTAATATTTGTGTGGAATTATATTTATTATTTTTATATTTCTAATATTGAAGATTAAAACTGGAGTTAGTTAAGCACATATATACATAGGAGCTACTGGATGTTTATCGATCGTAAGTCGGTGAGGAACTGCCTAAATAACGAGAGATATGGTGTGTAGGTTTTTCCAGAAGTGAAACTTGTAATTTACGACTTGTAAAGTGTCACGTGATCATTATTGGAATTTAACCAGGATCATTAGGGATTCGTGATTCTGACCTTATTACTGCGAGTGACTTGGGTAAAAAAAATGAGAAGAAAAAAAAGTGCTGGGAATTTTCAGAGAAAATGTACATTCTTTTGAAAGAATGTACGTTATTATATTGAAAGAAACAGAGAAAGGCATGAATTCGAGTCATAAAAATGACAATACAGTATAATTCAGTATGTAAAGAGGAAAAAGACAGGTGAATAATGAAGCCATAAAGTCCGTTTAGTTTAAACTTTGGCACCAGCAGATTAAAAATAACCAAATATGAAAAAAAGGAAAAAAATATCTTTGTTTTGTTACTTTGTCATGTATTTTAGAATATAATCTTCTTATAATTTTAACATTTTCTATATTCTTTTCGTTTTTCTCAAGTAAACACACAATCTTGCGGACTAAAAGAGAATTATCTCATTGTGGTCGTCTCTTTTTAATCAAAATCAATTGGTATCACGCCAAAATCCGCTTCGCATTGATTTCGGATCGAACCACCATTTATTTATGTCTTCATACCAATGTGAAGTGTTCATCGTATCTTCATCGTGGAGTAATGCACACACCCGACACCAAAGAAGTTCGAATTTGTCTAGTATCTCGCCGGTTCCTTTCCACTGAAAATATGAATTATAAAGATCATCGTCTTGATCGACTTTGTGTAAATAGTCGGCTAAATCCTTAACCGTTGCGAAATCTTCGACATAAATGAACGAATTTAATGGAAGTTGTCTTTCGTAATCTTCACGACGAGCGCCCAATACAACAGGTAATGCATTATGAATTAATGCATTGCGATACGCTTTTTCGGTGATGTAATCCCAACAATGCGAATTTTCAAATGATAAATAGAATTTATACTCTCTTGATATGAGATCCCAACACTCATCTTCTTGGTTCCCATTTGAGTTTTTCGAACACTGTTTCGTTCCACATGCACCGTATATGTCAACCTATTGTAAACGACAATAAAAGCAATTAAAACACAAGAAAATGGTCATTAACTCGTGATCAGTAGTTCATACATCGATGTATTTCTGGAGTTTCTCTACATATATCTGTCGATCATTATGTGGTTCACAGTTTGACACAATCATAGCGACTTTTTTCGTTTTATTTAGAGCATAGTATCGAGTTTGCTTCATTTGCTTGATTTGTGGATCGAAATATAGCCATTTAAAGTAAGGAATTGGAAACGTACTGTCGTGCCTGGAAATTTAACGATTTATATGTTTTTTTTTTTGGGTTTGATGCAATAGATTTTTAATTAAAACTATGTTAGTATTTGGACAAGTGTTGAAATTGTTACATTTAGACACAACTGTGTTACCTGTACGTTATGGTCCAATTATAAATGATTGAGCCTGAAATTCAATTTCAATTTTTTTTCATAATATAAAAAAAAAGATTCAAATAAAAATTTTACTTGTGAATTTTGTAGTCCAATGAACTGGACTCTCGAGTCTGTAAAATCCGTAAACTTGATGTGGTTGTTTAGTTAAATTTTGCGCCATATGTTGTCCGGAAAACAAGATAAAGGCAGCCGTATCGGATTCATTGCGATTCTTTGTGAATCGGCAACGATTAACTGGACACTTTTTATTTGTAAACCATGTTTCCCATTGATCAAAAACATGCCACCATCCTTCATCGCCATTATAAAATAGAATCGTTTTGTTTTTCTCCACCTTTTTCTCATCATAGTTTGGCGGAATGAACATCAGCTGATTTTCAAAGCGATCACTTGGATCTTGCCACGGCATTATCTTCGCATCATGTCTACCTAGTTCCTCTGAATACTTTGCCCGCACTGCCGGCGCTTTTCCGTCTTTAAAAAACCACGGTTTCTCTCTAGGTTTTATCACGACATTTTCACCGCTGAACTTTGTCGATGATGGTTTTTTTGAACTCCTGAAATTGTATTTGTTGAATATTGAAGTGCCTTTGCCGGTTTATTATGTAATAATTACCATAAAATACGTCCAACGATCGAAAATAGGACGAGATAAATGAAAACTCTTTTCTTTATCAAGTTTGATAAGGACCAATTATTTACTGGAGATATATTTATGTTTGGTGGTAACATCACAAATAGTTTCAAACAAATTGATTTCTTAGTAGTCTTCAGTTATTAATTTTTGGGATAAGATCTATTTTTTAGTTTCACTAAATTTTGAATTACGAACTAGAGACAAACACGTCTGTTGAATCGACTCAAACTAACTCATCTAACGAAAATACAGGTAGATTATATTTTATAATAATTAAAATAGAAATAGTGATAGTCAGTTTGCATTGAAAAGAGGTGAATGAACCAAACTATAGTAAACTATGGTAACTGTGGTGTTTCGAGTAAACACAAACAGATGTTCATTTATTTGAATCAATTTACTTATTAGATATTCTAAATAAGACACATTTTGGTGTATTTGAATTGTGTTTTTTAGCCAATTTTTCATTTGAAAATGATCAGCGCGTTGACACGCTACCCAAGCACTCAAATTGCACTGTTCGCCCGGGGCATTTGCACCGTGCGTCAGTTACGAAAACACGAAAAAGAGAAAGTAGTGTATTTGCATATACGCTTCTTGCCTTGCGTCTTATTCGTTATTCCCCTTTTTCATGCAAACAGCTGAAAAAAGGGTATAACGAATAAAAAGCAAGGAATGAAGCGTATACGCACATACACTACTTTCTTCGTGTCTCGCTCCGTATTCTGTTTCGTGTTTTCGTAACTGACACACGGTGCGAATGCCCCGAGTGAACAGTGCAAATTGAGTGCTTGGGTAATGACAAACTAAATTTGTTGAAATTTTCATAAATATATTTTTTTACATTTCTTTTCTTTCGTAAAAGTGAGTACTGGAATCGTTATTGCAAACGGGAAAGTTGCTGGCCCATTTTTGTTACACATATTTCACATTTTATGGTGTCGTTGAAAGGCCTCAACTGATTGCAATCGATAAAGTTTCTATTTCGCACACGATATGCAAGGCCATAAAATTTGCTATTAGCGGTGGCTCGTTTTCAAATTGCTTTGTATGCCCTATTTTTTTGGCGTTTGTTGATAAAAATGCGATGGAAATTTGTATCATTCCTTTTCTCCCCTTTGCACTCATTTCAATTTGAATTAAAATTTCACATATTAAACGAAAGAATAATAAGTATAGACAAATGTGAACATAAAAGAATAAAAGTGGGTGAATGCGATATTTTTTCGTGTCTTTTATTTGTTTTCAATACATAAATATTTTTAATAATCATATTTTAATCTTCTACACAATTTGATCTAAATGGATTTAATGCATTGAGGAACATTATTCATACATTTAAAGTATAAAATTTACTTAAATTAATGAATTGAAAAAAAGATCTCCAATAAGAGCACCGCTTTGACATCTATGATAACTATATGGATACAGTAATGAAAGAGCTTTGATTTTCAGGGAGTTTTATTTCAAAATTGAAAAAGGAAAAAGCCATAAAAGCTCTTTACTTCCAAACAGTGTGCTCTACTTAATGTACAGAGAGGAAAGTTAAATTTTAAACTTACTACCTTTTGCATATTACTTCAATATATAATCAATATAATACTATTGTAATTATTGATGCGCTGCAAATATTTTTTTCTCATGTTTAATAATGTTTGGATTCATTTTGCTTTACGAAGTCCATACGATATATTATTTGATCGTTTGAATCGCAACTTGAACCATTATGCTTAAATGAAATGGCAATTCCTTGAGAACATTCCACGTTAGAACTAGTTGATAGATGATCGCAGAACAAACTTAACCAACCATGATCAGGCATAAACTGAATTCTATACTGAATTCCAGGCTTGATTAAAAGCGGTTTTGGTAGTTCAACAATTGTTTCCTTTTTACTGCTCAGAGAAACTTCAACAAATGAAACCAAATCACCCATATATGTATCGGTAATGTTAGTAGATATTCGGATTTTAACTGGTGTATGCAATTCGTTTTCTTCGGTATTGTAACTATAAACCATTGTTACTTGTGCACAGTAAATCCGTATCAACGACAATG